TTATTCCACAGAATGCTCCCTCTAAACGCTTCTTTCAGCTACAGCCCTACTGGCTCTTGTGTTGGCTTGTTGGCTTCCCTCAGGCCCGCAGCTCTGGAAGTAGAATCATTAAAATCTCTTGAGCTACATCTTTTCTGGTACATGCTGTCAGTTTTCTGCCAGTTCTGGACTGATACAGCACTTGACAAACATTTCCAAATCCTGCCAGGTGCCATCTTGGGATCTAACCCCATGCCACCTGCTTGAATGCCTCTGCCCTTCTCTCAAGAGGCTCAGCCAGTCATGGAAGAAACTAGAATCCAGGTCTCCTGCCTCCCAGAGCAAGACTCCTGGGCTTCTTGAGGCCTGATGTCTTGGAGAAGATGGACAAGAGTGGGGGTGGGGAAGTTCTCACAGTAAGAGGTGATAGACTCCTCTTTCCTTGGTGGTACCCATTCGCTGGAGCAGCAGGCTACCCTGCAGCACCAATTCAACAACCTGGGTGGCAGGGCCAGGACATCAGGTTCCCAGGCACCTGCAGCATCAGAGAGCACAGTTTCTGGCACCCCATGGACGCTGGCTATGTGGAAGTCAGGGACTGTGGATAACACTGTGGCAAATGATAACATTTGCCAGCATCACCAATTTCTGGATAACTTTACTTCCCTCTTTTTTGAGTAGGAGTCTCACTCTGTCATCCAGGCTGGAGCACAGTGGTATGCTTATGGCAACCGCAGCCTCAGCCTTTAGAGCTCAGGCAATCCTTCTGCCTTAGCCCTCCAAGTAGCTGGAACTACAGACATGTGCCACCACGCCTGGCTAATTTTTTTATTGTAGAGATGAGGTCTTGCCAAGTTGCCCAGGCTGGTCTCGAACCCCTGGACTCAGACAATCCTCTCACCTCTGCCTCCCAAAGTGCTGGGATTACAGGCATGAGTCACCACAGCCGGCTACTTTACTTCCCTTCTTGCCCTTGAAACACTTTTATAATCATTCCCTTATATTTAACTTTCCTCTGTTGGAAACACCTGGAGTGGTTTTCCTGACTAGTCAGTCACTGCTAGACTATTTCAACTCTGTCCTTAGACATACCTCCCTTTAAAACCAGAATTCACGTCAGAGACGAGGTAAGATTATACACGAAGCCCCAGCACTACTGAATTCCACTGTAATTTTTTTCTAGAGACAGGAGTTTCATTATGTTGCCCAGGCTGGTATCAAACTCCTGGGCTCACACGATCTTCCTGTCTTGGCCTCCCAAAGTGCTGGGATTATAAGTGTGAGCCACCGCGACCCGCCCCATTTTTGTAATTTATGGCATTCTGGACACTCACATTGGTAGCTGCTTCTGAGAAAATCTACACTATGGCCAGAAGATGGCAGCATGCCACCACTCCAGCTTCACCTATTCACGGGCAAGCAACACAGGGCTTCGCACTCCTAGGCCTGCAGAGGTTCTTTCCAGCCACCTGGACAACCCACAGATCACCTGTTTCCTTACGAGTGCATATATCAGCCAGATAATCCACTCATAAGTAAAACCCTGTCACAATAAAGGCATACATTCCCTTTCAAGCATCGTGGCAATAGCCTTATCTCAGATTTTTAGTAAACATTTGGAATTGGATAAACCATCATCCTTAATCAGAACATTTTATTATTTTTTTGAAGTGGAGTCTCACTCCGCCACCCAGGATGGAGTGCAGTGGCATGCTCATGGCCATCCCAGCGTCGACATCCTGGGCTCTGGCGATCCTTCTGCCTCAGCCCTCCAAGTAGCCGGAATTACAGGCGCACACTACCACACCCAGCTATTTTTTTAAAAAAATGTATTGTAGAGATGAGGTCTCACCAAGTTGCCCAGGCTGGTCTTGAATCTGCAGGCTCAGGCAATGCACTTGCCTCGGCCTCCCAAAGGGCTGGGATTACAGGCTGTGCCACCAAGCCCAGCCAGAACATTTTATATTTTTATTTTTTGGGGGTAGGATTCTCACTCTGTTGCCCAGGCTGGAGTGCAATGTGGCATGCTCATGGCTACCACAACCTTAACCTGCTGGGCTCAGACAATCCTTCTGTCTCAGCCTTCCAAGTAGCTGGGACTACAAGTGTGCACCACCACACTCAGCTCATTTTTTTGATTAATTGTAGAGATGAGGTCTCACCAAGTTGCCCAGACAGGTCTCGAATTCCTGGGCTCAGGCAGTTCTCTTGCCTCTGCCTCCCAGAGTGCTGGGATTACAGGCTTGAGCACTACACCCAGTCTAGGATAGACACTTTTAAAGAGAGACCCACTGAACATCACCAGTCAGCTGAACTAGGCAGCTTGAGGGTCTGTATTTGTTCCTTAATGTGTTATCCTAAGGGAACACAGTGGTGAAGCATGTGCATCCACAGTCATTGGTGTCCAGAAGAAACGCCTAAGACAGTCAGGCCCACCCTGTGACCCCAACACAGCCAATAGCCACCTGTTGGCACTGGCCAGTGGGATCCAGAATCCTTCTGTCCATTCCCAAGGTTTCAGGTAGCCTCCAAGATGACTCCAACATGCATCAGCACGAATTCACATCAATCAGCACATAATTCAGTATCAAAGAATTAATAAAAATACAGAACTCCTGGATCTTCTAGCCATGTGGACAGTTACTCCAATATTTAACTTGGTGAAAGCTCTTTATAAGAAACCAGGTTACTCCATAAACTCCTTAAGGAGCCCTGGGTGGTATGAGAAACAAAGATCCTTTTGTATGCTACCAGGTTTGTAATGAGGGCACACTTTTGCAATCTCAATAAGAAAAAATTAGGAAAAGACTGATCAAATTGAATTATAAACGTCCTAGGCCAAGGAGAACTACTTGAGCCCAGAAATTTGAGACCAGCCTGTGCAACATAGTGAGACCACGTCGCTACAAAAAATAAAAAAATTAACCAAGCATGGTGGCATGCGCCTATAGTCCCAGCTGAAGGATTGCCTGAGTCTAGGAGTTGGAGGATGCGGTGAGCTGTGATCATACCACTGCACTCCAGCCTGGGTGACAGTGAGACCCCCAACTATACAAAAAGAAAGAGAGAGGGAGAGAGACAGACAGAACGGGGAGGGGAGAGAAAGGAAGGAAGAAAGGAAGTGCTACACTGAAATTGTGGCAGAGATCCAAGCCATTGTTGGAATCTCCATTCTTGGCCATGGTTTTGAGTGAAGACTTAAGAGTTTTCTATCTAGCTGGGCTCAGTGGCTCAGCCTGTAATCCCACGCTTTGGGATGCTGAGGTGAGTGGATTGCCTGAGCCCATGGGTTTGAGACCCACCTGGGCAACTTGACAAGCCCTCATCTCTACAATAAATCAAAAATTAGCCAGGCGTGGTAGTGCGCGCCTGTAGTTCCAGCTACTTGGAAGGCTGAGGCGGAAGGATCGCCGGAGCCCAGCAGGTTGAGGCTGCGGTGGCCGGGAGCGGCCACTGCACTCCAGTCTGGGTGACAGAGTGAGACGCCCACTCAAAAAAAAAAAAAAAAAAAAGACCAACCTGGGGTAATTTGATGAGACCTCATCTCCACAATAAATCAAAAAACTGGATGGGCATGGTAGCACACGCCTGTAGTTCCGGCTGCTTGGAAGACTGAGGCGGAAGGATCGCCAGAGCCCAGCAGGTTGACACTGGGGTGGCCGTGAATGTGCCACGGCACTCCAGCCTGGGTGATGAAGTGAGACTCCAACTCAAAAAAAATAATAATTTCATCTGTTTTAACTTTTTTTTTTTAAACTTATCTTATTTTATTTTATTTATTTTCGAGTTGGAGTCTCACTCTGTCGCCCAGACTGGAGTGCAGTGGCCGCTCCTGGCCACTGCAGCCTCGACCTGCTGGGCTCTGGTG